AAAGTATAATTCTAATGGTATAATTTTAATAAGTATAATTCTTTTAATTAAACTTCTACCCAAAATACATACTGCCACCTAAGACTCAAGTTGTTCAAACACCAGAATGATCCCTGTAAGCTTTTAATACCCTTATCATTTCAAAGCAATCCACATGAAACCAAATGGACTGAAATCACCTTTTTTTTGAGACAGGGTCTGGCTATGCAGTTCAGGCTGGCCTTTCACTCACTATGTAGCCCAGGCTGGCCTCAAACTTGTGACAATCCTCCTGCTTCAGTTTCCTAAGTGCTAGAATTACAGGCCTGTGCCATCACATCTGGTCACACTTTTGCCATAGTGAAAGTAGAGCTTCAGCAACATCAGTCATGGTAGCATGCATGAAAGTTGATCATGTGATCTTCCATACTCACCTTCCAACACGATGGAGTCAGCAATGGAGAATGTGCCATGTACCACATAATGGCCAGGACAAACAATAACACTGTCGCCTTCATAGCAGGCATTTATAGCAGACAATGGATCTCTATGGAACTAGAAAAGAATAACATATTACAAACATACATCGCCCAAAAGTTACTTGCATATTTCTCCAAGTGTCCTCATGTCTAACTCTGAAAATGGAGTTAAAATTGCCTAATTATCTCTATAAACAATGTAGTAAGCATGGTTGCTACGTTACTATTGCTGATGAAAAGATCGTGCTTTCACTACTTCCCATTGTTCAGAAAACCAGCTCTAGAAAGCTCCTGGAAACATTCTGTAGAATTCATGAAAACCTGGGATGAATCAAAAGAAGCCAACTAAATCAAGAAATTTTCCTTTTACCTGAATTTCTGTATCTTCCTTGAAAGGTTCCTCACAAAGCCTGTCCCTGAGCAGAGACCGCAGCAAACCAGACACCATGGTGGAGGAGACTACATGAGTGACCTTCTGGCCATTTGAACGGACACCTTTTGCTTGGATATTAGAGTTCTTCTGATAACCAAAAACATATCTTAAAGAAATGAAAAAGACCTATCAGTTCTCAGTAAGAGAGCTAGTAAGAAAAGATGCTAACTAATTAAGAATAACAAAAACCACACATACCTCAACAAAGGATTCTCAATGAGTTTTAGCTTTTGTTTCAACTGTTCAATCTCTGAATATAATTTTAACCCTTCCACCATGGAGATATTTTCCTGCTCAGAATCAGAATTACAATTTGACAAACTGCTTCTCAGATTTAAAAATTTCCGGTAACTTTCTTCACACTGAGTCAACAAATTGCGGTAGTCAACAATAAGTCCTGAAGGAACTCGATCTTCAAGAATGTCATAATGCCTGAAAGTTTAAAAGCAAAATGAAATCCACTGCTTTTCCGGAATTCCCTATCATTAGGACAACCCATTTAGTTCTCAAAGACACAGTATTTTACGTCATCTAACTCAAGAACATGCAAAGTCATTCTGAATAGCACTCTACTATAATTAGAAATTATTAGGAGTTTGAACCACCACTTCATTAGAGTCACTAATTTCTTTTGAAGAATTATGTTTTTCCATATATGTGAGCATTTGTGTTTCTAAAAAGCTGTCAGCTCATGTCGCACAATTTGTGATTATTTAATAACAAGTTGTTTTCTTCTCACATATTAGATTAAAAGCAATAATAAGTCAGTAGAGGGGCAATTTGGAGTTGGGTAAGGGGAATAAAATTGTTTCACAATAATGTTTAAGATTATCATATTTGTAGGATCAAAATTTAGAAATGATTCAAATCATTTAGTCTTTCCTTGCATCTAAAGCATATGGCACAAAAGTTTGCTGAACACTCATTACTTGAGGAAGATTATTAGATAAGTTCAAAAACATACAAGGCTTTAAAGTTGTGAAAGGGAAAAAAAGTAAAGTTGTCATTACTAAAGGGTGACTAACACAAAATAATTCTTGTATTGAACTTTATTGGCACTTAAAAACTTCTTAAATCATATACTGTCAGGTCTGGCCTGAAAGAAACCTTCACAGCAAACATGTCATTCTCAATAAACAGGCTACTCTCAGTAAACAGAACAGATGACAATAAAGAAAACTTAGAACAGAGTAAATAATCTTAGTGCTAAAGGGTCCAGTATTGTATATATACCTGTACTGACCATCCTTGGACCCTTAATCATAAACATTCCACTCCAGATCATAGTCCCCCTTCTAAAACACCTATAAAAACCTAATTTCTCTCCCAGCTAGCTGCTGAAATCTTCCCTGATTTCAGTCTCTGCTTGCACCCAGACAGGAATAAAGCCTTTTCTCTCATAAGGCCTATGTCCAAGTGGTCTCTCATGTGCCATTGGTAACATTTGGTTGTCAAAACTCAGGATAGGGTCGTTCCTTGGAGGGTTTTACACCCTACTGAAGCCACCTGGCAACATAGGTCTCTAGACTTTGCTCCAGCATTTCAGGCAGCTTCCTGGCTCCCCAGCTCCCGCCATTCCAGCAGCTTCAGACCAGGTAAGGCTTTTGTTTCCTATCAACTAGCCACCTCAGCCCTGCTTTTCCATCCCCAAGCATTTCCCTCTGTTTCCTCTCCACACTGCCTTTAAGAGCCCCCCCCCCCCCACCACTGCTGACTTCTCTCTGCCCTGCACCTTTACAAGCCATGGTGGTCAGCTACAACCACTCCACAATTCCAATCTCTCTTCTCCTTAGCTTCTCTTTCTCCCCTCACATGCCAGCAGAGAGAAGTCCATCCTGCTTTTCTGTGCCATTTTAAATCCAGTGCTGGTCACAGAAAAATCCCCAGGGGAAAGAACTATCTTTCCCTTTGGTGTTTGACCAATCATGGTGATGACCACATTGGTCACTCACCTACGTTCTGTCACAGCCTGGATCACACAGCTGGAGACGTCCAACTTTGACCCTGTCCCTGGTCTCTGTCACACAGGCCACGACAAACAACCTCTCTCTGCTCCAATGGGAAATCTTCCTTCTTCTATTCCTCCTTCCTCTCCTCTAGCCTGTCTATTAAAGAATCTGAAACCTTTCCACCTATACTCTCATATGAAACCTAAATGTCTGATATTCTGTAACACTGCATGGCCACAGTATAAACTAGAAAACAGCTCCCAGTGGCCAGAGAATGGCACTTTTGACTTCTCCATCCTGCGGGACTTAGAGAACTACTGCCCAAGGCTGAGCAAATGGTACAAAGTTCTACATGTCCAGGCATTCTTTATACTTCATGACATTCCCACTTTATGCACCTCTTGTGACACCTCTCAAATCCTTCTCCTTTCTCTCCCACCTGGCACCCCCTCTACCTGACACAAACTCCTCCCTGACAACAGGTCCAACTGACCTCAATCTTCCCTGGCAGCTCCCAGCACCTCCTGCTACAGCTACATATGTTGCATCTCCTCTCTTCCCAGAGCCTCCTTCTATGACTGCAGAGACCACTGCTCCTCCCTCACAGTCTCCTGACACTATAGCTTCCTCTCCCTCCCTCTCCAAGCCTCCTGTCACTCACAGTCAGTTGCTGGCTGAGTCTTCTGCTGCTGCTTTTCCTGCTTAAAGCCCTCATCTACCTGAAGCTGCCTCTGAATCTGACCCTCCTCCATAAGCTGACTCTGCTTCATAACCAGTCTAGACTACAATTTGGTGCCCCTTCCCTACCCTCCACTCCTCAATTCCCACTTCAAGAGGTAGCAGGAGCAAAGAGAATAATTTGAATCCATGTCCCCTTCTCCTTGTCCAATGTCTCTCAGATCAACTAGCATTTAGACTCCTTTTTAGCAGACCCTACTAGGTACATTCCAGCATTCTGATATCTGTCTTATGACCTTACCTGGAATGATCTAAATGTTAATTTCTCCTCAACCCTCTGACCCAAGGAATGAGAACACATTTGGTCTTTGGCCCAGGCTGCTGCAGATGACCACAGATGCCTTGAGCCTAACCTGCAGGATGGCACTGCAGCTGTTCCTCAAGCCAACCCATATTGAAATTTTAACCAACTAGATGAAGGGCAATCCCCAGCTCACAAAAGCTGTAACTACATGGTTATTTGTTTAGTTGAGGGACTCCACAAGGCAGCACATACAGCAGTTAATTATGATAGACTTTAAAAAAAAACAACAAAAACACCCAGACAAAGGATAAAAAATCCAGCGGTGGGCCAGGGATTTAGCTCAGTGGTTCCGCCATCTGCCTCACAAGCACAAGGACCGGAGCTCGATCACTGGTACCAAAAAAAAATCCAGCGGCCACCCTCAGTTTTTATATGGCCCTGGATCTAGAGGGCCTAGAAAGTCAACTTATTTTAAAGACACATTTTATTGCTCAATCTGCCCCAGATACTCATAAAAAAATTACAAAAACCGGAGACTGGCCCTCAAACACCCCAAGAGCTAGTAAGTGTGGCTTTCTAAGTTTATGATAACGGAAAGGAACATTCTGGACAGCAATGCATTTCTGAGCTGCAGATACTAGCCTCTGCTGTAAGAAACCCTGCAGAATTGGCTGCCAAGATAACTAATAAAGGATCAAAACTGCCCAACTCAAGGTCTCCCTCCAGGGCCATGCTTCACATGCCACCAGAATAGTCACTGGGCTAGAGACTGCCCAAAGCCCAGGATTCTTTCCAAGCCATGTCCTTCCTGTAGGGGTCCCCACTGGAAGTCAGATTGTCCAGTGCTAGCAGCCGCCCCTTCTGCTTCTGGACCACAACCCCAGGGACCAGCTCCTCCCCAGACCTTCTTGGCCTGGCCACCAAGAACTGACACCACCTGGAAGCCAAGGAGGCCTCCTGGACCATCTCAGATACCAAGCTCCAGGTAACTCTTACAGTGGAGGATAAGTCCATCCCGTTTCTCCTTGACACAGGTGCTATGTACTCTACCATACCTTCCTTCCAAGGACTAACCTTCTTGGCCCCAATTACTATTGTGGGGACTGACTGTAAAGTCTCCAGATCCCTCCAATTTGATGTCAATTAAAATGCCTCCAATTTGATGTCAATTGGGCCAACACCTTTGTCCACACTCATTTTTAGTCATCGTCACCTGTCCCATTCCCCTTTCAGGGCAAGACATCTTAGCTGTCAGCCACTCTGACCCTCCCCAGGACACAGCCAGCACTTATAGCTGCTTTGTTCTTTCCTTCCTTGCCTCTTGACCCCCCCCAAGGCTCCCATCATCTCCCCTCACCTCAGGCCAGACTCTGGGACACTTTCACCCCATTCCTGGCCTCGTCCCAACAGCAACTTACCACTCCTCTCAAGCCAAATCACCCTGACTTTCCGTGCCCAACAACAATATCCCATCCCTGACCTGGCTTTAAAGGCCTTACAACCTATCATCTCTTGCCTATTGCAGCATGGTCTTTAATTCCTGTCAATTCACCTTATATCACTCCCATTCTCCCAGTACAGAAGGCAAATGGATCTTATAAGCTGGCACAAGATCTCCACACTATTAATCAGATTGTCCTCCCCATACACCCTATGGTGCCAAACCCTACACACTTCTGTCCCCTATTCCTCTATCCATCGCTCATTACTCTATCTTAGAACTAAAAGATGCTTTTTTTCACTATTCCCTTATGCTCCTCCTCACAACCTCTCTTTGCCTTCACCTGGACAGACCCTGACACCCATCAGTCCCAACAGATGACCTGGACTGTCATGCCTCAAGGCTTCCAAGATAGCCCTCACTACTTTAGTCAGGTCCTTGCACATGATTTACTCTTCTTTCATCCTTCCTCCTCTCATCTCATACAGTATGCAGATGTCCTCCTTCTCTGCAGCCCCTCCTACAAGTTGTCCTATAAAGACACTTTATTATTTTTTAATAAATTTTATTATATTTTATCCCATTCCCCCTCAAGTCCCCTTCCCTCTCTATGTATAAAAGCTTTGTTTCCATTTTTTCCCTTCTATTTTCACTTTTTTTCTTGTCCCCTTCCTTCCTTTCTCCCAACACCTTCTTATTATTACAACATCTAGACTCCAAAGGATATCATGTCTTCCCCTCTAAGGCCCCAATCTCTTCCCCATCTGTCACCTATCTGGGCATCATTCTCCATAAACATATCCAAGCCCTACCTCCAGATCATGTCCACTTAATTCCTAGATTCCAGTTCCTACCAACAAACAACTTTTCTCCTTTCTTGGCATACTAGGGTATTTCCACCTCTGGGTCCCCAACCTTGGTCTCCTCACAAAACACCTCTACAAGGGCTGCGGACTTAGCTCTGTGGTGCCACCACCTGCCTTGCAAGTGCAAGGTCCCAAGTTCGATCCCTGGCACCAAAAAAAAATATCCGCCTCTACAAACTAATAAAGGGAGACTC